CAATAAAGGATCTCCAGGACCCAGAGGTTTCCCATTCAATGAAGCTGACACAATTTCTCCCAAGGGACACAAAAAGGCTAGGTAATACTGTTTGCCAGGAACTGAAAAAACCTCTTAATGGAGATGAGCATATTGATTTGCAAACCGGAGGAAAAATGCATAGCCGCGACTCCCTAGCTAGGGAGGCGGAATAAAGGGAGGATTTATTTTTAAACTATCTTTGTGATGTTGATCCCAGCAAAATTGTGCAAACTTCCTTGCGTAGGTGTAGCTTCCCGGCAGGACTTAGAGTTACCCGCAATGCAGATGACTCTGCACTTCATTCCAGTACAGTTAGGCGGTTGAGCATAAGGTAAGGGTAAGGTTGGGTATAAGGGTGGGGTTGGGATTAACACTGGGGCTGTAGTTATGGTTTGGGCCAAGGTTAGTGTTAGAGGTCGGGACGTTGCCCTTCCTGTCTCCTACCGGGGAGGAGGCTTGCATCAAAGCAAATTCGACCCTTGACGTTTCTATTAGACGCAGTCGTTTAGATTCACCAGGATAATTTCCTCACGACTGAATTTACGCAAACTGAAGTCACTTAATTGGATTTTACAATATAAATTTTGCTAATTCAGTCATTTGCAGTTCATATACTAATTAAACGATCGGAAGCAAGTTTCTTACTTCATTTGGAAGCCATTCTGCCTTTCATATGGAGCAAATTTTAAGTGGGTTTCCACCGGCAAAGGTGTGCTCGGGTAATTAGAGGGCTTATAACCTAGCCAGGACCCAAATAGTTTCTGAAAAATTTCCTGCTCTTGAAAAATGGAACCATGACAGCTTTTATTTTCAACCTCCTGATATTGGACTTTTCATTAGGGTATCATTTCGAAGGCCAGTGTCATAACTTACGGCAAAACAAACTTAGCAAACACAGAGTAAATATTCCCATGTTTAACATGAAATGTCTATTTGGCAAACATATGTTTTCGGTAATTTATCATAAGGCCTGCAATGATAATGAAAATAGGAGAGGGGGAGGGGGTTTAAAAATGTCTAATAAGTAAAACCTTTTTTTTTCCCAAGACTCCTATGGCGAAGTCGGTATGTAGAGGTCATCTGACTGGCGGGGTGAGAAAGAGGATGGCTTTGAGTAGTGATCATGGGTCGAGTACGCGGAGTGAAGATCACTGTCACGTGCGCAGAGTAAACGACTGTCACCAGGGTGCGGGGGTGAGATGCGATCGCCACTTCGCATGTCGCCCCCGCAACTTGGTGACAGTCGTTTGTGCTTGACGGTATTAACTTCGAAGGAAGCAATTAACTGACCCAACGATTAACACTTTTAAGCTGGGATTAATTTTACCATCATGTCACACAAACAATGCATTAACCGTTACCTGTGAAGGTCAGCCCCGAGAATAACTGGTGCGGTTCGACTGAATTGATTATTAGTTTGTTTACGAACTCTGTTAACAGT